CTTCTCAAATTGGGTTGAAGTGCATACATGCATGCTAAATCAAACTTAAAACACTTTACTGAAGAAAAAAAAACCATATAACTTGGACATTTTTTTTGCATATTTTTCGTCAGAGAAGAATTTAACTTTACAGCATAAAATACTCGGGTCGATTGAGAGAAAACAAGATAACGAAAGATGTACATAAAATAATCACTTCAGGTAGAACGAATGTCTTCCGCCATCTTGGATCGTAGAAAAGCAGAAAACAATCGGTATAGATCTTGAATGGAATATGCAAATTTTTTGAGAGAAGAATGTAATTCATTTAAATGATTTTTTATTTAAATGAAAACATTATGTGTTTTGTCATATTCTTTACGACTGTTTTCTTTAAAAATACAGAATATTTTGTCTGATTCATTTTTTTTTTAATTTGCCATTTAAGGGGAGATAGCTCAGAGTTTTGTAGCGAGAAAACGAGTCCCGTGACCCAAATTTTTATTTTTATTTTCTAAAAGAACATCATAAGAGCTATCTTCTAAAATTTTATCTTAAAATTCTATCGTTTAGTTTTCTTTCTATTGCACAAAATCGGAGTTTCCATGTATAATATATGCAAAATCTGACAAATTTACACAACATTTAGCTAAAAAAAAAAAGACCCCTGACCAATACTTTTTATCATATTTTAAAAAAAAAGCATGATATAAACTACTTTTAGGCAAATTATTTAACAAATTCTATCGATTTTAATTTGGACCCCCATCTACCTTAAAACATAATATTATTTGCTATCTTTCACGTGTTCAGTAAACATTTTTTTCATGTCGGGACCTTTTATAGCCGACTATACGGTATGGGTTTTTCTCATTGTTGAAGGCCGTACGGTTGCTTATAATTGCTTACATCCACTTCATTTTAACTTTCATGGATAGTTGTCTTATTGGCAATCATACCACATATCCTTATTTTTATATTATTTCATGCATATCTAAGTCAATATCACTTTACAAATAATATAGCATTTTACTAAAACTAGGAAAGAATGAGGTGGATTCTTTACCTTCAGTATGCAAATAGTGAGTGCTCATTTTGTAATGATAGGAAATAAGACTTATAGAAACTGCTTAAAAATTGAGTTTCCGTTAGGATAAAATGTCCGAGCATATTAATCATATATCACGAAATATGGTCAAAAGACATTCTTCCGTGCGGAACTCATACCCGTGCTAAAGGTGAGGGATTGTCGTTTAAGCATGTATCGCATGGCATATTTCAGGCTTTTCAATATACAATGTATCTACTTTTTCAAATCCAAATAGCGGTCTATCGACTTCACAGAACCTTATCAAATCGTTAGTGTTTTAAATACTGTAATAATGCATGAAATACTTGCCACTTGACGATAAGAAAACAACAATCAATGTGATTGTCAATTGTCAACCCTTGATAAACAAACATTCCTAACTACTTAGTATATGATTTTTAATGATGAGTGAAAACTAACACCATATGAAGTTTTAAGACGGTCAAATGATTTCCAGTGCCTGCGGAAGACCATTTAAACTAGGCCGACAATCTATACATCCATTAATGGTAGAAATGAGACGTTTATTCGTGACTTACCACACTAAATTAGATAACTTTAAAAAAAACTGTATCAAACCAGTATTCAATCAACTAGAGCTTTATCGGTAGAATTAATGGACTTTCAAAAAAGAAATAATGATTAAACGAAGGACGTTAGGGATGCAACTTTGACTTAGATATATTTCAGTTTGAACTCAAGAATTTTGTTTGCAAAAATAAACAATATGCACAGTTTAAATGAAAATACAAGAGAAATGTATCATTAACATATTCTTGGAAGATTGTTGGTTTGCATTTTTAGCGTCGATCGGTAAATACTTCACAAATGTCCCTACATATTTGGAATGTAAAATTGTGCAAAATTCGAACAGAGATGACTCGCAAATAACAAATGGCCTTTTATCAAATTTTTAGATAAATAGAGCTGCGTAAGATTTGTCATCAACAATTACTACTCTTTTTCAACATTTGCAAAGAAAACGAGTGATGGGAATGGAACATGACATTTAACACAACCCAATGTACCAAAACCGAATAGGATTTGAAAAAAATATTACAACTTAAATATTCTACATTCCGCATTTTTTTTTTTGTAATACTGTTGGCTCACCGATGAGTTTAATCTTGAGCCCCACCTATGAGATTCTTTTGTCATGTCTTCACATTTTTTTCTCATTTGAAGAATTTTGGCAACGAAGTTAATGGCAGATCTTTTAAATTTGCTGCGATTTAGAGCTTCTGGTTGGTAAAGACATCAGTCCTTTCTACTGTTGAATACTGTTTTTGACCTCTAGAAGGCCTTTGTAGTTTTTTTTTGTTTGTTTGATCATAGGATTGCTGTCTCATTGGCGTATTCCCAACATATCCTTTAATTCCAAAGAATTTTAAGGCGTCTTTGTTTTTCGGAGATATTATCAATTATTTTCAATGTCTTGACACTCAATAGCATTGACAGACCACAAATCAACGTTAACACAGCCTCTTTAATTAAGCTGTATTTTGTAAATGTTTATGATTAAAAGCATAATGTCTTGTACATTTAAACGTCCATAGTATTGCCGTAACATCAGTAGACTTACTGAATTTGTTAATGAGTTCAAACGATATATAATGTTGGGATAACCTTAAAATACAGTTTTAACTCGGAAATATGTTTCGCTTTATCATGACTGTTTGATGGATTCTTCAAACGCTATTGAATCGTTAGGGTCATTTCCGCATAATTTTTTTTTATGATAGTAATTTATGAATAGGATGCTTAGCAAAATAAATCGCTAATGTCGTATTTTGAACTGAGAATTGCTGTAATATTTAGGTCTACAATACTGTATAATCCTCTTTTTCGGAATAGTTTAAATAATACTATAAAATCTGGTCAAATTGAATATTGCATTTTAAATTATACATGCGACATCAGCACTCCGACTTATGAATCGCATTGTTGAACGTGTATATACAAAAACAAGTACCAACTCTATACAAAACTATTTTAAAGGGTATATCAATTAACTACTACATGTACAATCTATATATGTAAAGCGTATAACCAAACAAGACTGGTGGACACCTAAGTTATTAATATAGCACACACCATGTTTTAATTATAAATATAATATTTTATTGATGTACATAACAATTCAAATAATCTTATGGTCATGTGTATTGAAATATATTTTGAGCTGTCATCAGTGATCCTGCAGGCCAGGAAAAATCATCATACACGAGTTGATTCGGTCAAACTACATTTAAAATGCAATCAATTTATTTGAAATGTGGGCGAAATACCAGTCAGAACAGATTACAAGAGATAAATTCGTTCATTCCATGAGCTTCAGATATCAAACAAAAACTGACCTGTGATGACTGTGCGTGTCTTTATGTCTTTATAATGTTTACTTTTAGCTTAATATAGCTATATGTATGTGTTATGAAATGAATTTTTAACACGAATGTGTTATGAAATGACTATTAAACTTTTAACCATAATGAAAATTATGACTTTAACTTTACCGGTCCTAAGCCCGGATAAAATAGGAGGGAAGTCATAAGAAGCAAATATTGTAAAAGCGCAAATGTCCTATATAAAAAGCGCAAATGTCCTATAAATTAAAGCGCAAATGTCTATCTAAAAAAGCGCAAATGTCTATCTAAAAAAGCGCAAATGTCCTATGAAAAAGCGCAAACGTCCCGCGTCGTTTTAAATATAGTGGAGCATGTCGTGTCGTAAACCTGTGCCCAAAACCTAATTTCACAACGATGGTTCTCAAGAGTTATAATACTTTGGACAGTGTGAACAAAATGTATTTTTGTATATGAATGCATATTTTATTAGTAATAAGGTATTATGTTTGCATGAAAAAAAACCTTTAAGGAACTAGTCATGTAAAGTTTAGGAATTTTTGTCAGATGTTCAGACTCCTTGGAGTTTTTCCTACGATACAGCGTAAAATATTTTGCCCCATATCACCACTGTTCTTTTCATGGAAGACTTTAGTAGCTCATAAAAAGGTCATTACCAATATTTAAGCAGATTCTAGATTTATTTTCTTAAGATTCGAGACCAAATAATGTCAATGCTAAATGTAAGGTAAAAGTAAGAGACGGCCTTTTCCCGCCATTTTAAAAAAATCAAATATCTCAACAAGGAGTTCCATATATAGTATCAATTTTAAATTCTAGAATTTTTTTAATAGTTCTCCTTACGACATCCTTAATTACACAAAGGTAGTATTAGTATGTCAAATGCATTGAATCATAAACTATGTTGGGTAGCTGTACAAATAACGTTCCCTAGTACCGTTATAACAATAATTTCCCACTAGACTATCGAAGCGAGTGAAATTATGATTATATCATGGTTTCGACTCTATAATTCTAAACACATGTCACTTGATCCGAGAGAGGTGTCCAATGTTTCACAATAATACCAAAAAATTGCATAATGTACGTTTCTATTTGTCTGACTATCTTCGTTGCTTAGAGAGGTAGTGATGTTATTTTAAACATTTAATACTGAAAGGGATTAGATCTACAAAATTAAAACAAAGACTAGCACAAATTAAAATCACACACGTGCACAATGCATACAGCAGACAACAACTTAGAATCAAAAGTTTACTAAAAAAAAGTCGTCTCAGCATGCAGCATTTATTGTTTTGATATGGCTCAAAATCAGTAATTTATTAGTATTAATATGTATGAGGAACTTAGAGTTCAAGGATAATCAAAAATAAATAATCCTTTTTTACATCACAAGATCGTGTAATACAGCCTACACGTACACAGTCAAAGATCGTGTAATACAGCCTACACGTACACAGTCAAACAAGTAGTCCCTTAAAACTACACCTTTAACAATACTAAAACAATTTGTACTTCAAAATTCAAAATTAAAAAATGATAACAATGCTATCCTTATTCTTTTGCAGGTTGTGTAAGTGTTTCAGTAGTGTTATCGTTGCCACCGCTTGTTGGATGGGCTGAATACTCGTACATTCCAGAGCAACATTTTTGTTTTTGTAATTGGGCAAAAGCTCCGTCGTATGCCTTTTTCATGATAGGTTGTTGTTTTGGTATACCATTTACAGTAATGTCAATATGTAACATACTTATTTTTCGAACTGTACGAGCCAGTAAGAACCGCGTGGCAGCTGCTCAATCTAAAATTAGCACAAGCAATCATCATAGAGGAAGCTTGAAATCAACCATTGTGACACAGGCCACTTCAATCCTACCAGAACCTTCGACTGTGTCGTCTTCACAAACCGATAAAACATTATTGTACATCGCTAACCGTAGCCCAAACAATAGAAAAGCTGTTACATTGGAAAATCTGTCTGCTATAGATGATGTAAAGGTTGATGTGTCAACGATACATTCCAATTCGAATAGACTGTCAGTTATAAAATCAAAACAGCAGCAGAAAATCTTAAGACACGCGACAGACAAAGCCCGGTCAGATGAAATACGTCTCGCCCTCGCTCTTGCCATTGTTGTTATTATGTTTGTAGTGTGTTGGCTTCCGTTTTGTATTAGTATGTTAATAGGCATATTTAGTCCTAATGCTGCGTCAGATAAATTTCATATGTGGACGTTGTTAATTGGTTATTCCAATAGTTGTATGAATCCGGTTATTTATGGTGCTTTGAACAAAAAGTTTGGTGAAGGTTTTAAAGACATATTTTGTCGATTTTGTACAAGGTGAAGAAATTGTTATTGTTTATTGTTAATGGTCAGACAAAGTCTTCACTGTATATAAATTGAATTTTCTTCTTAAAATGCAACCATTTGTCCGAAAACGAAATCAATTCAGTTTTTACAGTTACCAAATTGTATAATTATATACATTATATTATATTGTAATTATTCATTATGGATAAGAAGATAAAAAATGAATAGCAAAATGAATGAGATTTATCGAAACAAGACTTAAGATTTAGCTTAATAATAATTGCGTCCTAACTCCATTGTTTTGATGTTCTTCATCTTGAGTCTTGCTGGAAGGCTTTCATCGACGAACTAACCACTTCACATTATATATGTGGTTGTCCCAAGCCAGGACCCTGTTATTCAGTTGTTTTCGTTGTTTGCTGTCTGTAATATTTAAAAAAAATATTTACAATAATCAGGCCGTTGGTTTGTTTTTTGAATAAGTGTGTTCGGGGATAGTTATTGTTTCAATTCGGAGGTTAAGAAAGTAGTATATCACGTGAAGTTTTTCTATGCATCCGCCAAGTATTTTCAGCTAATGGAATGATTAAATTAGATTTGCACTTCAAAATTCCGACCACACTTTTCTATAATTGTGACCCCTTAACTCTGATGAAAACCTACCGTAAGTTGACATCACCCATAAGTTCATGTTTTCATTCAGTCGACGTTGTATTGATCCCAACCCTGCATACATTTTTGATGTTTTTACGTTGCGTTTGTGTGTAAAATGAAATTGAACACGGACAAATAACTTTCTTGGAACTAATGTATTGTTTTACATTTTGTCGGAACGGGTCCTCGTAAAGTTCCTATACGGTAAGGGGTTTGCTCATTGTTGAAGCCGATCGTTGAATCTATTGTAACTTACGTCTACGTCAGTTAGTTTCTGGTGGATAGTTGCCTTATTGCCAATTATATCACATCTTTTTATTTTTATAAGGGGATTCCACTTCACAGCGGTTACAACATGTTCATGATCGTTACAATGATTTTGATATATTTTTATTGTTAAGGTGGTACCTAACACTACAGGGAGATAACTCAAGTAAAAGGGAGTAAAATCAGCTAAACGTTTTAATTACGTTGTGTTGTTAAGGGAATATTAAGCTTCTCAATGATCAAAGTTAGTGTTTGTCAAACTGCTATATAACCAGTCTAATTTTTCTGATAAATTGGTTGGTTCAAATTTTTTGAAATTTTTATATTTTTGTCAAAGGGTCAAAGTAAATACTTTTTCAAAATTTTATGAAAATTAAACGAGCCAAATTAATTTTAGTGAAGGTGTTGGGTACCACCTTAATTTGCCATCTATTCTGAGTTTTCCACACATCTTTTTTCATCAACGTTTTCGACTCCCTCCCTAAGGGTATCGCGAGAAAATGGAATTCGTCTCACTTTCTCCTAGCCTGTTGTGGATTATGACTATGTGCCAGGATGTATAAAATACACAATCCGTGTTGGGAACATCCCATATTAATTTGGTTAAGTAGTTGAAAATGAATACTGTGATCCCAGTTTTTCTGTTCATATTCAGAAATCATTTCAATTAAAGATATCTTTTGATATTATTTTAAATTTCTACCATATATTTGTCTTTAAGTTTTGTTTTGTTCCCATACCAAACAATATATTATTGCCAGATAATTTTTGTATCGGGTAAAAACTTATGAATTTCATAAATAGTTGCATTGACTAGGTTTATTAGCATAGCAACATCGTATAACCAATATCATTACCGCCACACGCCACAATGAATAACTAAGAACTTAGATGGAGATTCATGATTTGACATAAGTCTAATTCTAGGAAGTGGTTCCTCCTATTTCATACCCCCTTTCCTTGCCACCATACCTTTACATTGCAGCGTTTCATACCCAGGTGAACACCATCAAATGTGTTCCTGGCATACCTGTATAAAAGCATGCTGAACTATGGAGGAGCCAACTACCCAAACTTGACTTTCTTTTACATCATCTATTATAAAAATAAAATTGCATTTATATTAAGGAAAAAATACAGCTGTATGAGACGGATGATTTAAGGAAATCTGCCCACTGTTATACATTTATTTCTTTTAATGTTATAATTAATGCTAAATTAAGAATATAAGGCTTAAATGTGTCTGATTTCCATCGACCTAATTTTTGAATTTCTTGTTGAAATGCCCCTTTTGCATAATGACTGGTAAAAAGAATGTGTTCGAAATAAGGATGATTAAAACTTTAACGCTTTTTGTAGTACTGACGCAAATTGATATCGAGTAAAAGAGGGACGAAAGATACCAGAGGGACAGTCAAACTCATAGATCGAAAACAAACTGACAACGCCACGACCAAAAATAAAAAGACAAACAGACAAATAATAGTACAGATGACACAACATAGACAACCAAAGACTAAGTAAAATGATTATCCCCAAAATGACACTAAAACGGACCCATAATATTTGGCTGCTGAGTTAAGTAATTTCGGAGATATAGCACCGGACATATGTTGTTTTTGGTCTACGCTATTTCAATTGACATTCCTTTCCCATATTGGTCTGTTTTTGAAAAAGGAACATTCAGCTCTATTTTATCCAAGACGATTTTTATATTGTTCTTGCTAATAACCTGATGTTTCTGCCATGGTTTGCTCAGTACAATTTCTCCCACTCGTAGCAAACCATGAAAAGCGAGTGTAAAAGCAAAGGAAAATAAGGTAGCTTCACATTTAAAGAACAAACTGACGGTAGCGCATTGATTATACTATTTAATATCTCTTCAGTAATTGGCAATCTTGTATCTTTTCTCTTGTTTGATCTTTTCATACCCTCTAGCATTTTCTTTATTGTGACACTTTGCGAGAAATCTACGTACTGTGCCGTTTTGCAACGAAAATTAATAGAAAAAAAAATAGGTACTGGCAGTATAATGTGATTTACCGCTCAATGATAGAAAAGCAATGAAAAATGTAATGTGTGATAGTGGAGGTGGCCATATATTCTCCAATCAATATTCCTTACGAAAATACTCGAAAGAGGCCAACCCTGTTTGATATGCTTCTGTTGTATTCTCCGAAATTGATGCACCTATAAGTCGTCTAATTTCATTTCCGAAATTTGACGAGTGAAATCTTCTGGTATTTTCTGTGGGTGGATGTCCGCATCCGGCTGTACATCTCTGAATCTGGTCCACTTTTTACGATAAATGGCATCTGCTATGCAATTGAGCAGGCCTTCAACGTGGCATGCTTTAAATTGCATGTTAAATAGCATAGTTTGCAGGACAAAAGGCCAGACCAATTGCCTAACATGCTTAAATTTAGACGATTTCTTGTTTATAATAGAGACTGATGCTTTGTTATCTGTATGAAAGAATACGAGTTTGTTAGCCAACTGTTTTTTGAACAGATATATGGAAAGTAATATTGATACAAGTTCTAAAAATGTAATGTCCGATATAATAGCAGGTCGATAGCTCTAAAACAAAAATTTAATAAACCTTCGAGTGACTGTGGCTCTCGTAAAGTGACTTTCTTTTTATTAAAAACAAACATTAGTTTCTGCCTTGTTTGTTCTAGTTTGTTCTCTGAATTTTGATCACCATCTCAATTGTATCTATGTCAAGGCCAAGAAAAACTAGAATTTTAGTAGGATAAACAGTTTTTTCCTCCGCCAGTGTGACACCTTAGGCTAGTTCCTCTCAAACTTGGCGAAAACTTTTCATAATCAATTTACAGCTCTGTGTGCCTGCTTTACCGGCCATTAACAAATCATCAACATATTGTTCAATTAAATCCTTTTGAGATTTGAATCGCACAACCCATTCAAGAAAATCAGCGAACTTTGTAAACAGTAAATTTGATGGTGAAAGGTCCATTGGTAGGCATTTATCAAAGTAGATTCTGCCCTTAAATTAAAACCCAAATAAGTCAAACTCTTCGGGATGTAGGATTAGCAATCTAAAGGCCGATAGTACGTCTATCTTGGCTATTTCCGCATTTTTTCCTAGTTTGCTTATAGATTTAGTACTTAATCAAATGACGTATACTGGACAGAGACATTTTCTTTATCAATAAAACTATTAATACTCTTGCCGAGTGGATATGACAGATTCTGAATAAGCCGTCAACCACTGGATGGCGGCTTCTTCTTAAAAAGTCCAATTTGGGATAATCTTAAGTTAGGGAGTACCCTATTTGAAAAGGGGCCAGCAATTCTGCCTAACTCTACCTCCTTCAAAATGTTTTCTTGTAATTGAGATTTATATTCATATGCAGAAGCTAAATTTGTACAATTTAATGGCAGTCGTGGACCCTCATAGTTTGTTCTCAAACTTAATTCAAAACCATTATCTAAAATATGTGCATCATGTCTATTTGAATAAAATTTTAAGTCTTTTCATTTCTAAATGGGCGTTTTGCAATTAAAATAATTCATATAAGATATATGCAATACTTCGCTTGAGCCAAAATTTGTGCTGCCGTTGTCTCCATCTAATATCTTTAATTCCATCGTATTCCCAACGTTTAGTTTACATGGCAACTGACGAGAAATACATTTTTTAATTGTCCATAAACATGCATGTAATACATCAAATTAATTTCGATATCTTGATATTTCAAAATATTAGCAGAACTCAGAAAATCAAATACACATTTTCAAAGGAATATGTACAAACAATCAAAGACTTTTATGCATATTATTAAAACATTTACCATCACAAAGTTGTAATCAATAAAGTGTTTTGTCTGTACCAATGACTTAAACAACAGCTAGCCATTTCAAATAAGCTTCCTTCGTCTTTAGTAATTAACAGAAAAAAAAAATCGAATTTTAACGGATCACTTCCAATTTCCCAATTACAGACGAATAATTACATAAACACTATAATGTATTTCCTTTCAATAACTGAGGTATGACAATCTATCAGACAGGTATTGACGTTTCAGTGCAATTACAGTTTCATTAACTTTGTTATCATGCCCATCCATAGAAAAATAAAAGATGTAAATGTTTTAATTGACAGGTTAAAATGATTTAGATAAAATTTTACGTCAATATTATCATTAAGGATGTATCTAAATTATAAATGAGAAAAACACCACAACAATAGCTTTGTACTATTCAACTAAAAAATCTGCAAATTCGCCAGAACGAGAATTAATGAACAACTACAACATCATTACATTTTGAAGAGTCAGTGTAAAAAACCACATATGATATGAGTTCCGCGTGCACATCACGTGGTTTTGAAATAAATCTCCATACGGTTTGTTAAAAGCCAATGAAACTATGTAATTTCCAAGAGCATAAACACCGAATGGGTTGTAGCAAAACAACTAGAACTAATTCGTCGCAACACCAGCCTAACCCGTAC